GACCGACAACACTCCATTATCTCTGCACTCCTCTAATTCTGGACGCTTTCGGGTCTGATTTGAATCACTTCAGCGGTGGTGGCTATATCTTCAACAGCTCAGGCCCTATGCTCTGAAGTTCCCTTGTTTCACAGACTCAGCTGTCTAATTTCTCCCTTAGGATGTATCTTAAAATCAGTCTCTTTGACCCAAGTATTTATCTTAATTCTTAACTCTATATAAAGCTGAATGGCAAATTTTGTTCGTTCGTGCTTCTGTGAAATGCCTCGGGCTATTTTACTGCATTTAAGGTGCCACATAAAAGCAATTTTGCAGTTTTTTTTGGAGAGAAAGCAAAAATAGTGCTCTGCTAGAACAGCAGTATTGAGGAAGCTAGTCTGAATGGCTACTTTCTATCACTTCACAAAGCCTTCAGGCCTTTTTCAATCTGTGTGAATTTTCAAGGGGCAGCTTCTTTCGATGAAAGACAAAATAACATGGATGTGGGAAATCTGAAACAAACAAAAGAATGCTGGAAAAACTCATCATGTCTTGCAGCACCTATGGTGAGAGAAACGCAGTCAACATTTTGAGTCTGGTGTGACTCTTCTTCAGAACTGAAAGGTCTTGGAAAATAAGTTCTTCTTTCTACTTTTGAGAGATGTAGAGGAGGAGCAACAGAGTAGGTGGTACAAAGGTTTAGAAGACAAAAGGGTTGTTCATAGTGGAGAAAGACAAAAAAGATGTATTGTGGGTATAAATTAAGCTGTGAAAGGGAGAGAATTGGCCCTTTTTAGTAAGTGCAACAGGAAAACGAAGGAAGCGCGACACGGCTGTGGGGGAAGCAGGGGAAGAGAGAATGTAAGAAACATAGAGAACAGACATAAGGCAGTCAGTTTCGGAAGTTGTTGAATACAATGTTGAGACTTTGAGGCTGCTGCAAAGTTCCAATAAACTTGTTGGACTGTAACCTGGTGTCGTGTGATTTCTGACCAATGAAGCACATACAAGCTCAAGGAACAACTCCTCACTTCCCACTTAGGCAGTTTACAGCCTCGATGCTTCACTTGATCGAGGCAGCTTTGAAATTCCCTCTCATTGAGTTTGATCTCAGTCAGCTTGGCAATACGGGCACAACAAGTAGTCTCAGTGGCCCTGAGTTAAATCAGGATGAGACTTCTGCTCCCAACGCTTGTGTGAGGCCAGAAGTGACATTACATTCTGATTCCCAAATATTGTGTTGACATTGAAGATTTTGGATCAACAATGAAAGATCATTTGTAATGAAAGGGGTTGCTCATATTTGTAGTCTGCGCTTCCTTCCAAAAAAAAGGAGCAAACATTTGAAGGATGATCTGAAAGTTCATGAATTATTATGTGATACTGAGACCATCCTTTAGCGCAATTTATAGCAAAGAATGGCCACACTCGGATATAATCCATTTCCGTGATTGGAGTATCACAGTTAGGAAGATCAACTCTTCTGGAACATCACAAAAAATTTAGATTGTTCAATGCATCAAAAATGATTAAACCAGACCAGCAGGAAATTAGAATAACTGTTTCTGAAAGGTTTTTTAATGCACAAAAGCCTACAGGGTCTTCACCTGCATTTATTTCAATGAAATGAATAGTCTGCTTCAACATTCACCTATCCTCTCCAACCAACCTCAAGGGCAGAGAAGCTGGCCTTATGCCAACATGTAGATGAAATACAGAAAGTATTATCTGCCAGGCTAATGTTGGAGTGTAAAGGGCACACTGGAGATGGGATGTGGGCCTTGTTCCATCCTGTGAGTGTACAATGAAGAGACAAGGGCTGTAATTAACCTTGGCAGACTCATCTGCTGAGTGTAATACAAACACATAAACATGCCCTTGAATTGCTGTGGTACAAGGGTAAAAAAAAATCCTGCAAGGAACTATTTAAAAAGAAAATGGAAAATACCCTCAATGGCAGGCAATATGTCAATGGGATTGTCAAGCTACTTTCAAATTAGAAGGAGGACACACAATATTAGATGTACTGTTTCTGCTGCTACCAATGAGACCCTTTCAGTATGCTGGGGATAGTTAACCCCCACTAGGATAACCCCACTCAGTCATCAATTCTGCAGCAACTCTCTCAGCTATTGCACTTTGCAACCCTTTTTACATCCAGAAGCTGGCCAACCGTGATCCCTTTTAAACTACTGCCCAGAAATACTTGTGAAGTGAGTTTTCATTTCATTTTAGATTCACACAGTCATACAGCATGGAATCAGACCCTTCAGCCCGACCAGTCCATGCCAACCATAATCCCAACCTAAACTAATCCCACCTGCATGTGCTTGGGCCATATCCCTCCAAACATGTTTTGTTCATTTACTCATCCAAATGTCTTTTAAATGTTATAATTGTACACACATTCATCCTCTGGAAGTTCATTCCATGTAGGAACCGCTCTCCGTGTAAAAAAATTGACCCTCATGTCTTTTTTAAATCTTAATCCTCTCACCTTAAAAATAGTCTTGAAATCCCCCACCTGAGGGAAAAGATACCTGCCATTCACCTAATCTATACCCTTCACGATCTTATAAACCTCTTTAAGGTCAGTGAAAAGAAGTCCCATTCTATCCAGCTTCTCCATATATCCCAATCCCTCTATTCCTGGCAACATCCTGGTACATCTCTTCTGAAACCTCTCTCCAGCTTAATAACATCCTTCTAATAAAAGGGCGACCAGAATTGGACAGAGCACTCCAGAAGACACCTCACTAACATCCTGTAGAACCTCAACATAACACATCCCAGCTCCTACACTCAAAGGTCTAAGCAATGAAGATTATTGATTGATCATTTAGAAAGTAACTTGATATAATACTGTACTGCACCTTTCACAATACCAGTCGATGTTTACAGACTCCCTCCAAGCCCATTTTAAATTTTTCCAGTAGTTTGAAACATGCTTTGCATTGAAATGTTTTAACTCTTCAGCCTGGAATTTTGAAGGTGTTACACCAAGAAGGGAGATTCCTCCTGTAGTCAGGGTTAAGATATTGAGCTGTTTCTCATCTCTTTCTCCCGGCTCCTAACCACTGCCTTTGAAACTCCCTTTCACCACTTGCTTGCCTGCTCCCTTCTCCTAATCACTCTCTTGTAACTCCTTCCTGGTCAATCCCCTCAATCCTGGACTGGAATCTTCCTTTCGACACACTAAGTTAGGATCCTGGACCAGAACATTCTCACTTGGGGGCAGGTCAGGCTTCGTGTAGTGATCATGAGCAACTCGGCTCACTAAGCATGCAGGTACTGATAAATCCCATGGCCAGGTGGGCAGATGGTGTCAGCTCAGCCGCTGACTCACAGGATCAAAGATCAGGGCCCCACCTATAAAGCATCTTGCTGAACAATAAATGATGGCTGGTGAGCCAGGAGACTCCGTCAGCGCCGTTCGCAAAGCCTGGAAGAAAGAGGCTGCTGCCAGAAATGTCTCAGACCAGCCCCTGGTTGGCCTGTGGCATTGCACCATGGCTCAGCACTACCTCGCTGCCGGGTCTCTTTCAGGCCATCAGGGAAAGGCAATGAGGTGTTCTTTCCTCGAGAGGGCAGTAGGAGATCTGGACAGAGGTGGCAGTAGAGGTCAGTGGCACTGAGACCTACTGAGCAACCTGGCTCTAGTGCCCCAGCTAATTCAACGGGCTTTTTACCATCTCCACCATTAATACACTCAGTAAACACTAGCATCCAAGGGATGGAAGACCAAAACGCATGCTAAACAGCACTGATTTTCTCTGAGATAGTAGGAACTGCAGATGCTGGAGAATCTGAGATAACAAG